AAGAAGTGCAAGTTAAAACCACAATGAGAAGCCATCACACATCAACTAGAATAGGTTAAGTTAAAAAGACATATGATAAGTCTAAACACTGACAAGAATACGGAAAAAACAAGAATGTCTGATATTGCTGGTAGGAATGCAAAAAATGTGGCAGCCAATTTGTAAAGTGGTATGACAATTTCTTACACAGTTACCCATCCATTACCACATGACCCAGCAATTCCACAAATATGTAGTTATCCAAAATAAATAAAAATGTAAGACCACACTTACATTTACCCCGTGGTGAGTTTCCCTGTACAAAGGTCCAAGGGGAGAGGCAGGAGAGGGAGGGAGGGAGTCGAGCTCAGGGTCGGGGATTCCAGGACGAGCAGTGAAGGGGAAGGATCTGGGCGCAGCCTGGGGGGTCTCTCCCTGGTTTCCACAGACAGATCCTTGGCCAGGACTTAGGCAGTCGGTGTGACAAAGAGGCTTGGTGTAGGAGAAAAGGGATTAGGACAAAGTCCCAGGTCCCGGGCTTGGCTCTCAGGGTCTCAAGGTACTGTCTGCACTGGGCAGGCGCTGCGCTGGGGATTCCCCACTGCGCTGAGTTTCACTTCTCCCAACCTGTGTTGGGTCCTTTTTACAGGACACTCGTGACGCGGCCCCAGTTCCCACTCCCATTGGGTGTCGGATTCTAGAGAAGCCAATCAGGGTCTCTGCGGTCCGGCTTCTAAAGTCCCCACTCAGACTCAGATTCTCCCCGGACGCCTAGGATGGGGTCATGGCGCCTCTAGCCCTCCTCCTGCTGCTCTCGGGGGTCCTGGCCCTGACCGAGACCTGGGCCGGTGAGTCCGGGGTCGGGAAGGAAACGGCCTCTGCGGGGAGGAGCGAGGGGACCGCAGGCGGGGGCGCAGGACCCGGGAAGCCGCGCGGGGAGGAGGGTCGGGCGGGTCTCAGCCCCTCCTCGCCCCCAGGCTCCCACTCCATGAGGTATTTCACCACCGCCGTGTCTCGGCCCGGCCGCGGGCAGCCCCGCTTCATCGCCGTGGGTTATGTGGACGACACGCAGTTCGTGCGGTTCGACAGCGACGCCGCGAGTCCGAGGATGCAGCCGCGGGCGCCGTGGATAGAGCAGGAGGGGCCGGAGTATTGGGACCGGGAGACACACAAAGCCAAGGCCCACGCACAGGTTTTCCGAGTGAACCTGCGCACCGCGCTTCGCTACTACAACCAGAGCGAGGCCGGTGAGTGACCCCGGCCCGGGGCGCAGGTCACGACCCCTCCCCATGCCCCACGGATGGCCCGGGTCCGAGATCCACCCCGAGGCTGCAGGACCCGCCCAAGACCCTCGACCTGGGAGTGCCGCGGGCGCCTTTGCCCGGTTTCAGTTTCGGTTTAGGCCGAAGTCCCCGCGCGTTGGTCGGGGCGGGGCGGGGCTCGGTGGGCGTGGCTGACCGCGGGGGCGGGGCCAGGGTCTCACACCTTCCAGAGGATGCACGGCTGCGACCTGGGACCCGACGGGCGCCTCCTCCTCGGGTATCACCAGTTAGCCTGCGATGGCAAGGATTACATCGCCCTGAACGGGGACCTGAGCTCCTGGACCGCCGCGGATATGGCGGCTCAGGTCACACAGCGCAAGTGGGAGGCGGCCCGTGAAGCTGAGCAGCGGAGAGCCTACCTGGAGGGCGAGTGCCTGGAGTCGCTCCGCAGATACCTGGAGAACGGGAAGGAGACGCTGCAGCGCGTGGGTACCAGGGGCCACGGGGAGCCTTCCCCGTCTACTATAAATCTCCCAGGATGGCCTCCCACGAGGAGGAGAGGATAATGGGATCAGCGCTAGAATGTCACCCTCTCTTGAATGGAGAATGGCATGAGTGTTCCTGATTTCCTCTGAGGGCCCCCTCTGCTCTCTAGGACAATTAAGGGATGACGTCTCTGAGGAAATGGAGGGGAAGACAGTCCCTAAATATTGATCAGGGGTCCCCTTTGACCACCGCAGCAGCCTTGAGCTTTTTCTCTCAGGCCTTGTTCTTTTCCTCACACTCAACGTGTTTGAAGGTTTGATTCCAGCTTTTCTGAGTCCCTCGGCCTCCACTCAGGTCAGGACCAGAAGTCGCTGTTCTTCCCTCAGAGACTAGAACTTTCCAAGGAATAGGAGATTATCCCAGGTGCCTGTGTCCAGGCTGGTGTCTGGGTTCTGTGCTCCCTTCTCCACCCCAGGTGTCCTGTCCATTCGTAGGATGGTCACATGGGTGCTGCTGGGCTGTCTCAAGAGAGATGCAAAGCCCCTGAATTTTCTGACTCTTCCCATCAGATCCCCCAAAGACACACGTCACCCACCACCTCGTCTCTGACCATGAGGCCACCTTGAGGTGCTGGGCCCTGGGCTTCTACCCTGCGGAGATCACACTGACCTGGCAGCGAGATGAGGAGGAGCAAACTCAGGACACTGAGCTTGTGGAGACCAGGCCAGCAGGGGACAGAACCTTCCAGAAATGGGCAGCTGTGGTGGTACCTTCTGGAGAAGAGCAGAGATACATGTGCCATGTGCAGCACCAGGGGCTGCTGGAGCCCCTCACCCTGAGATGGGGTAAGGAGGGGGATGAGGGGTCATATCTCAGGGAAAGCGGGAGCCCTTCTGGAGCCCTTCAGCAGGATCAGGGCTTAGGCCTTGGGGTCAGGGCTCCTCACCTTCTCCTCCTTTCCCAGAACGGGTTTCCCAGCCCTCCATCCCCATCGTGGGCATCGTTGCTGGCCTGGCTGTCTTAGGAACTGTGGTCACCGTAGCTGTGGTTGCTGCTGTGATGTGGTGGACAGAGAGCTCAGGTAGGGAAGGGGTGAGGGGTGGGGTCTGGATTTTCTTGTCCCGCTGGGGGTTTCAAACCCCAGGTAGAAGTGTTCCCTGCCTCATTACCGGAAAGCACCATCCACTCATGGGCCGACCTTGCCTGGGTCCTGTGTGCCAGCACTTACTCTTCTGTGCAGCACCCGTGACAAGGAAGGACAATGTATCACCTTGATGGTTGTGGTGTTGGGATCGTGATTCCAGCATTCATGAGTCAGGGGAAGGTCCCTGCTAAGGAGAGACCTTAGGAGGGCGGTTGGTCCAGGACCCATACCTGCTTTCCTGGTGTTTCCTGATCCTGCCCTGGGTCTGTAGTCATAGTTCTAGAAACTTCTCTTGGGTTCAAGACTAGGAGGTTCCTCTAAGATCCCATGGCCCTGCCTCCTCCCTGTCCCCTCACAGGACATTTACTTCCCACAGGTGGAAAAAGCGGGAGCTACTGTAAGTGGCGGGGGCGGGAGTGTGGAGGAGCTTACCCACTCCATTATTCCTCCTGCACCACGTCTCCTGTGGGTTCTGACCAGGTCCTGTTTTTGTTCTACCCCAGGGAGCAGCAGTGCCCAGGGCTCTGATCAGGACTCTGATGAGTCTCTCATGGCCTGTAAAGGTGAGACCCTGGGGATTTGAAGTGGGTGGGGGTGGGGCAGAGGGGAAAGGCCTGGGTAATGGAGATTCTTTGACTGGGATGTTTCGAGTCTGTGGGGGGACTGTTCAGAGTGTCATCACTTACCATGACTGACCTGAATTTGTTCATGACTACTGTTTTCTGTAGCCTGAGACAGCTGCCTTGTGTGGGACTGAGATGCAGGATTTCTCCACGCCTCCCCTTTGTGACTTCAAGAGCTTCTGGCATCTCTTTCTGCAAAGGCATCTGAATGTGTCTGCGTCCCTGTTAGCATAATGTGAGGAGGTGGAGGGAGAGCCCACCCCCGTGTCCACCGTGACCCCTGTTCCCACGCTGACCAGTGTTTCCTCCCCAGTCATCTTTCCTGTTCCAGAGAGGTGGGGCTGGATGTCTCCATCTCAGTCTCAACTTCATGCTGCGTTGAGCTGCAACCTCTTACTTCCCTACTGAAAATAAGAATCTCAATAGAAATTTGTTTTCTCAGTATTTGCCATGAGAAGTTGATGGGTTAATTAAATAAGTCAATTCCTAAAATTTGAGAGAGGAAATAGAGACCTGAGAACCTTCCAGAATCCACATGTTCCCGGTGCTGAGTCTGTTGCAGGTGGGGACTGGAGAAGGCTGTGAGGAGCCGAATGTGGACGGGGCCTGTGCCCAGTTGCTGTTCAGTCCCTCATGGGCTTTATGTGGTCACTCCTCAGCTGGGTCACCTTCACTGCTCCATTGTCCTTGTCCCTTTAGTGGAAACTTGTCCAGCCGGAGCTGTGACCGCAGAGGCTCACACATCGCCCAGGGTGGCCCCTGCACACGGGAGTCCCTTTGCTTTCTAAGACAAATTTTCAGATCCATTCAATCCTGCCCTCCTTCTAGGGCTCCTCTTCTGCTCTGCTCTCCTGCCCTCTCTCCCTGCCCTGGTTCTAGCGATCTTGGTGCTGGCTCAAATCCCAACTCAAATCTAAAGCAGAGTGAAATTTAGGTTTATACTTGTTTGTGAAATTGGACGCATCATCAAGGACTGTTCTTGGGTTTTGAAGAGAGAAACCTGATTGTGTGCTGCGGTGTGTGTGTGGGGGGTTGGTGTGGGAGGAAGGATGGGGGAGGGAGGACCACAAGCAGCACTGCTGAGAAAAGCACAGGAGGCCTTGGTGTCAGTGTGAGGGGACCTTGTGCTGTGGCCACCACAAAACAGCATTTGGCCTGAAGCTATGTTAATAAAGAGACTGGCTTTAGAATAGGGAGGTGCTCTGCACTGATCATTCATTCAACTGACCTTTCTTGTCAGCCAGACATAGGACAGAGTGGTTCTGCATCTGGGGAACATCCCTGAAGTAAAATGAGAAAAATCTCTGACCTTGGGTAGCATGTGTTCCAATGCGAAGAGGCAGACGAAAGATACATTATAACCAGAGCAAGGGAAGAAAGTGCTAGAAGGTGGTAAGTTCTGTGAGACAGGTGATCCAGGGTGTGGGCAGTGGGGACAGGGAAGGTGGCTGTTGTGCTGGGGTGGTCAGTGTGTGCCACGTTGCAAAGGTGACCTTTGAGGAAAGATTTGAGGGACATGAGGAGTTGTCCATGAGGATGTTTGGGGAAGTTCTTTCCAGGCAGAGGAACTCCAGTTCAAATGCACTAGAGCAGGAAGGTGTCTCTGTTTCCAGAAGAGCAAGGAGGCCAGGAGGGCTGGACAGAGAGCAACTGAGATGAGGTCAGAGGTACAGCCAGAGCAGGTGGGCTTGAGGGGAGTGGGGAATGATCTGACCTTTGCTCTGAGTGAGATGGGAGGTAGAGGACAATTTTGAGCAGACGAGGGACATGGTACAACTACTTATTTATTTATTCATTCATTTATTTATTTAAGATGGAGTCTTGCTCTGTCATCCAGGCTGGAGTGCAATGGCATGATCCCCGCTCACTGCACCTCCGTCTTCCAGGTTCAAGCGATTCTCCTGCCTCAGCCTTCTGAGTAACTGGGATTACAGGTGCCCACCACCAAGCCCGGCTAATTTTCGTAGTTTCAGTAGAGACAGGGTTTCGTCATGTTGGCCAGGCTGGTCTCAAACTTCCAACCTCAAGTGATCTGCCCGTGTCGGCCTCCCAAAGTGCTGGGATACAGGCGTGAGCCACCAAGCCCAGCCACAACTTCTCTTCTAAAAGAGAAGGGTGTGAGCAGGGGAAATAGTGGGACGTGAGGGGATTCTGGATGCATTTGAAGATGGACTCACAACATGTGCCAATGGATTGTATGTGTGATGTGAGAAAGATGAATCAAGGACACCCATAGTTGTAAAATGAGTGAGTAGAAGGAAGGGTGGAGCTGCTGTCAGGCAGGAGCATACTGAGGAGGGGGCATCACAGGCACTCAGTGGAGGATGTCTACTAGGAATGCAGGTGAAGGAGCTGGGGTGGAATTTGGACAGACAACTCCAGAGTTTAGGGGAAAGGAGAAATCGACTGGGCTGGAGAAATAGATTTAGGAGCTCACACCATATAAATGATACTTAAAACCTCAAGCATGGATGAGGGCACCAAGGGAGTGGTTGACTGTGGAAAAGAATGATGCAAGGACCGAACCCTGAACCTCCAGTTCTAAGGGATCTGAGCAGACCACACCCTGAGCAGACTGCACAGTTCTGACCCCAGGTGGACAGATGGACATCTGTCCATCTGTCCCAGAGGACACTTAGACAAGGAACTCCCATGTCCACAGGGATCACCTGGACGTGGTGCTGAGATCCAGGAAGTCCAGAGTTAAACAAGAGATTCTTGATTTATGACAAGGCTGGAGCTCATGCTGCTGGTCTCCAGATCAAGAACACCAGGATCCCACATGTCTGAGCATCAGCCTTGCCTATAGGGCTTGTTATATAAGTGATTCCTTGGTCTTGTGCGTAATATTCTGAGACAGGGATTCTGGGGAGTGGCCTGTGTATTTTCTAAGCCCCGCCAGCAATCCTGTTGCTCAGCCAGATTGGGAACCACTGAGATCAGAGATCAGAGAGTACCTAGGGTGGGTGGGTGGAGTGGGTTTTCAAACCCTGTTTAAAAGAGGATTTTTCTCACAGAAAGAAAAGGGAGGATGTGTATCATCAGTTATGAGATGTACGATTTCCCTTTGTTGTTCTCTCCACCATGAGGTAGAGGCCAGGTAGACAGTTCAGGATGTGGCTCTCGCACAAGGAACACCTGTGAATGCCACTCTCTGACACCCGCCCACAGACTCATTTCCCACTCACTTCTTGGAGAAAACTGTGGAAACCAAATTTCTCTAATTTACACATACAGTAGCATACATGGTACTGGGGGCTAATTTTATTGTGGGGAAGGCCATAGAACTAGGCTGGAAACTACACATCCAGGAACAGAATCCACAGCCCACCCAGGATCAGGTCCCTCCTAGGAACAACTGCCCCTGCTGCTGAGCACAAATGCCACTGCTCACACCTCTGACACCCTGGTGCTGGACACTGGACCCTGAGGCCAGGGGAGACGTCACTGCTGCACCTGGAAGCTGGATATCACTACTGTCACTTAGTCATCTTTACTAAAATGTGTTCTGCACAGTCCCAGCCTTTCTGTGTGACCTCACTCTGGCTCAGAGGCTGGCAGTGATATAGGAGTTAAGAAGAAATTATTTAGGCAGATAGTGAGGGTATGGAAGTCCTCAGTAAGGTTTTCCTTTTAATGAAATGCAGCCCACAAATCATTTTCTTTTCTAACAAAGAGCAGCCTGTAAAATTACTACATCTAATAATAGGGATAGACTCCAGTACAATAATAGTGGGGACTTCAACATCCAACCCTCAGCATTAAACAGATCATCTACACAGAAATCAAGAAGAAACATTGGATTTAAACGGAACTTTAGACCTCATAATGCTAACAGACATTTACAGAGCATTCTATCTAACACTACAGAATATACTACACTCTTTTCATAACACATGGAATATTTTCTGGGAGATAGCCTATGTTAAGCCACAAAAAAACTCAACAAATTTTCAAAAGTTGAAACCATATCAAATATCTTCTCCAGTCACAATGGAATAAAACTGCAATTATACTCCAAGGGAAACTTTGGCAGCTAGACAAATACATGGAAATTAAACAACATGCTCCTGAATAACTATTGAGTCAACAGAGAAATTCAGATGGAAGTCAAAAAGTTTCTTGAAACAAATGAAAATGGAAACACAACATATACCAAAACCTGTGGAATACAGTTAAACAAGGCTAAAAGGGACGTTTATAGCAATAAATGCCTACCTAAGAAAAGTAAAAGCACTACAAATTAACAATATAACAATGAACCTGAAGGAACTAGAAAAGCAACAACAAACCACATCCAAAATTAGCAGAAAAAATAACAAAGATCAGAACAGAACTAAAGA